TTCAGTCATGTTTACAGTTTGGTAATGTCAAAAACATCTGTATGAGCCTCACAGTTCTTGTAAGTCTTTACTATTTCTCTCTCTAGCGCCACCGTATAGGTCTGGCCTGGGGTTTTTGTAAGGTGGCGGGTTTTGACCGTGGCACCGAGATCTCTTTTGTCCGGTGGCGGGTTTCGACCGCGACATCGAGATATCTTTTGTTTGGATTTCTGTGTTGGATTGTTGGACGCTTTGGATTCGGACACCCTAGTTTTCTCCGCTTCAGCAGCAAAGATGTCTCGACGGATTCAGCTTCTTCATCAACGAGTCTCAATAGACGGCTTCTGAATCACTCGACAGCTTTTCCGACGAGTTGGATTCCCGAACATGCAGCAAGCAAGAGGAGGTAGTGGCAATCTTGCTACGAATCAGGGGTTGAGAGATCTGGCTCCGGCTCTCGGCACAGGTGATGAACATATGGGGAGCGACGAAGGGCTGAGCAAGGGAGATTACAGACCGGCGGTCCGTCCCCCTCCTGAACCGCCTCCTTGGATTGATCGAGATGTCGGGGACTGGAGTATTTGTTATTTTCTGAACCGCCTCCTGAACCGCAAGTCAGAGGGTTGGTTCGAGTGTTCTGCCTGCGACAAGAGTTTTTTTTATTGCGCTTTGTTTGCTACTTCAATAATTGTTGCTTTTATTTTGATGTTTGTTTCTTTGTTTACGTTCCAGTTTGTAAGACGTTGATTTTGGATATGGGAGATGAGAGGAATATGGTGACCGTTTTTGGCTTTGTGTTTCCCAATAATGGATCAGCGAATTTTATTGCTGCGGCGATTAATTCCGAGTCTGGTTCGAGGGATAACGGTTGTCAGATTTCTTTCTGTCTTTTGACCCATACTCTGAAAAATTATTGGTTATTAATAAAAGTCCTGTTTTGGTATTTAAAAGTTCTACTTTGAGTCCGTTGGATATCACCTATTTTCGCGCACTGAATAGCGTAATAATAAAAGTATGTAAAGTTAGAGTTACTTTTAATGTATGAAGTTATTGAAATATATTATTCCGTATTAATAACTTTTCATAATTCATCAAATTCAGGCAATTCGATTGTTACAATCAAAATTTCATGAGTTTCAATCGATTCATCCGATGAATTTTCAAAACCCATCTATAATCACGGGTGGAGATAGGGGAGGGCCAACCTAGACCTTAATCCACCACAAATTTAAAATATGTCTTAAATTTAGTTTAAAAAATTTCGTATAATTGTTATTCAAAAATATTCTTTGTACTGGTCCTATCTGGCCTACTGCTTTGGCTACGTCGTGTCTATAATCTATTACGTAGAAAATACACTCATGCGATGAGCGGATGATGTGAACACTAAATTTGCATAGACTCGCGATAACACATTTTCGTAAAAAAAAACAAAAAACATAGATACAATAATTTGAATGTTACTCCCTCCGTCCCATAAAACTTGGCCAATGTTGATTTGCACATAAATTAAAAAAGTAAAAACTGTTTGGTTGACATTTGTGCAGATGAGAGATAAATAACTTGAGCTACATATTTTTTATTTCAAATGAAAATGATAAAGTTTTTTGAGACAGTAAAAAAAGAGTTGGTCAAATTTTATGGGACAGAGGTAGATGCAACTACTTATCGTTTGTGGCATGGTAAGCAGTGATTGTACTTGAGATGTTTTTACTTGAACTATTTTCAATCCCAAAATGCATCAAAATATCAAGTCACACTAGGAAAAACTTGAACAGTAATTAAATACATAGGAAAATTGACAAGAATACAATAAAGATCAATCATTTATCTGACCATATCATAGTGAGAAGCTGTTCTCTTCACCTGATTTGAATGTTTCTGATCTGAATTTTTTAAGTTCTGATATGATCTGATCTGAATTTTTCTGATCTGATCTGAATCTTTCTGATCTGGTATGATCTGGTCTGAATCTTTCTGATCTGATCTGAATGTTCTTGATCTGATCTGAATGTTTTTGATCTGATCTGAATCCTTCTGATATTATCTGAATCTTTCTAAAATTATAATTTTAATTACTATAATTATAAATGTAATTACACATATATAATTTAAATATAATTATAATCATAATTATAATAGGTATAATTATTATTATACATATAACACTAGTTATAAATATAACTATAAATGTAATTGTAATTATATTTTTAGTTATAATTATTTCTATAATTTTAATTGTAATTACTCCCTATAATATAATAATAACAAAAACAAAACTAATATCAACAACAACAACAACCGTAATAGTAATAAGAATAATAATAATCATGACAATAATAAATATTATAATAATAATCCTAATAGTAATAATAATAATAGTAATCGTAGTAGTAGTAGTAATAATAATATTAATAATAATCTATACTAATATAAAAAGGGAAACCAAAAGATAACCGTCTGTGCTTACGTCAGTTATTTGTCACGATGATGTCATCTATTATGAATCTCAAGAGACGCCTACATCAATTTGGAAAACGGATACATCATGTCGGTTACAGGCGAATTCATTCGAATCACATGCCAAATTGCCCAAACAGAGATCGATTCCACCGCTTCACAATTTCACGCTTCTCTGTGGTTTGAAGTGGGGAAACCGGCCAGATGCTCTTGCAGTGCGGTAAGCCTGGTTCTATGGGCCAAATCTCCGCCTTTCTCCGACTCCGACGAATGCCCTAGACACTATTTCGCCAGCGGGTCCTCTCAAACCACCAGGCCGTGGAACTTGCGCACTCGCCGGACAGGGAGTAAGCAGCCGAACGGGTCTGTCGCGGCTTTTGGCGAATCGAATTCGGGTTTGATGATCCACATTACGATGCCGCCATTGCCTTGATAACCGCAGACAAAACTTCAGGAGTCCGGTGTAACTCTGCCACCGCGTCCATTGCGGACTTTTCCGCTTCCCTAACCGCCGCCACAGCAGCAAGAGTATTTCCCGTCAGAGAGAATGGGGAGAGGGCAAAGTTCGTCGTTGCCATATATATGGTGGGTTCCTCAACCTTCCTCTGAGGATACCTGCAGTCGACCTTCCGCTCTGGGTGAGTTGTAACTGTTTTTATCCGATTTTAATTCATGATGCACTACGTCTTCAACATAAAATTAAACTGCATAGATGGTTTAGTTATATGCAAAAGACCCAACAACTTTAGTTCACATAATTACAGCTTCTCAACACTTGAAATCACAGTCACTATTCTAGCAAATCACGTTTGAGTAATTGAGTTTAAGCAGTCTTTTTGGGGATCTTTTGCAGTCACAAAAACAAAAATCAAAGGTGTTTTATAACAAAATTAGGGAGATAATATACCACATCAAGTATAAACTGGGCAAGGTGGGGGCTGGTGGAATCATATACAGACGGGCATGCGGCGGCTGAGGTAGTTATAATTACACATTTTTATTACTTCTACTACGGTTTACATTTAATTTCATGATGATATTCTTCTAACCATTTATTTGAAATTTTTAAGGAAGTTGCCCAAACTTGATATTACTCTGTATTTCCTAGGCGTAGAGGTCGTAGACCGATTATATTTCAAGTGAAAATCTTGATTCGCATTGGTTAAGAAGTAAATAATACGTAGTACTACACTACGGAATATACGACCTGAGTAACATATATGCTAGCAGCTTCATCACATCATGTAAAAAGTTTCTTATAGTTCAATCAAATAGAAAGTGGTGTGGTAGTACAAAAACTTTTAGAATATTAATGTCATACGGAGTACTTTATAATACCTATTACAATTTATTTTGCTGTTTTCACATAGAGCATCTTTTTAATCCACCTTCAGTAATCATGTAAACTTTTCTAATTCACGAGAACAACATTCAAGGTTTAGTTTCAAAATATTTTGGAGTCGGTGATGTTATACTACGTATTATTTAATATAAGAATCATAGATATATGAACTGCTCTAGAAAATTATGTGACAAAATGAGTAATAGTAACGAAAAGTAAATTAAAGTCGGTGATGTTATTTACTTCTAATACTTATTTTTTGGTTGCTGGCATGATATTTCTATAAAACTACGGAGTATATGTTTGTGTGTGTAAGTATATGTTTGTATTGTATACGTAGTATTTACTTAATTTAAATAGTATGTGAGGTTAGTTTAGAAATGCTTTAATTAAAAGTCTAGATTATTTCAACTTTGTACAATTAGATCTATTTTAGATAAATAAATACATTTTTAGTCATGCAAATGATATAACATCTCACATATATTTATTAGGAGAATGAGAAGAAATTATTAAAGACAAACTTATTCTTTTAAAAATAAAATTGCAAAAAATTCTGTATTATTCAGTTGTTATTATCAAAAACTTATTGGGGGCATTCACTCACAAAAAAGGTTGATCTGTCCCTGGTGTCACGAATTACTAAACGTCAACAATAAGAAATACTAATAAGCTAAACAAAACTAATATAATCAAATTTCATAGTCTATGATAAATGTTGTTGTAAAATGTATAAGTTTCAATTTCCCTTAAAAGTAAATATATTTTACGTTAACATTTTAATTTTAAAAGATGCTGCAGATGCAAAAATAAAAAATGTTCCGTGCATCGCACGAGTATAATACTAGTAATAATAATACAGTAACAATAATAATAATAATAATAATAATAATAATAATAATAATAATATCAATAATAATAGTAATTATAATAATAATTACAATAACAACAACAAGAATAATAATAATAATAATTATCATTATTAATATTATTATAATTATTATAATAAAATGGAAAAATCATGTCTGAACTTTTATGATCTGATTTGAATGTTCCTGATCTGGTCTGAATGTTCCTGATCTGATCTGAATGTTTCTGATCTGATATGAATCTTTCTGATCTGATCTGAATTTTCCGATCTGATCTGATTTTTTCTGATCTGAATAAAATAAGAATAAGTAATAAGATTACCAACATAACAACTTCTTAAACACGATCACACAAAAAAACTTTGAGTTCAAAATCTAATGACCAAAAGGGCCTAAAAACTACCATTCCGCCCACTGCCTTCTGTCGACAACATCGCCGGGGCACGCGACTTTCAAGCGCGGAACTGCCGTCCGCCGAACGCCTTCTGCTCTTCGCCACTTCGCCTCATCTACTCTCTGTTTGTCTTATTACTCATTACTCTGCGCGAACTTCTGGATCATACATTCTCTCAGGTTTGTCATTTATGCTTGATTGCTTTCCTTTTACAACCTGATACATTTCAAGCTTGGTTCCAAAAAGGCCAACTTTTAGAACTTCTGCTTGTCTAAAGAGGATTGAAGGAGTGACGCCTTCTGCTTATGCCAGTTTTTGAAAAGTCTTTTTTATTCCTTTCGCTATGCTTCCCCTCTGATGCAGTGATGAAATACTAGATAGGGATTAGTCCTAAATCCATAAATATTAAATACAACTAAAGTTAAGTTTATGAGTTATGATTACTCCCTTCCTCCCTTAAAACTATTTTTTTTGGTCAATTGAGTTAAACTTTGACCAATCATATATTTTATAGGCAATTATTATTCAATATATATATATATGTATATATGATATTGAAACTTTCTTGGTTAAAATAATCTCATAAAATTATAAAATTTGTAATTTTCATAAAATTATACTAATTAAAATAATCGTCCAAAGTTTAACACCATTGATTTAATATTGGCAAAGTTATAAGGGATGGAGGTAGTGTTATTTATAAATTATTGGGTTAATAGTTTCTTATTGGGTGTTCCAAATTGGTAGTTTAAGTAATTTGGTATATTGCATGCTATACATGAGATAATTTTGTAATATTCTTACTAATTTTGCACTTCAAGAGGCAAGAAGCATACATCCAATAAGGTATTAAAGCATACATGAAATTATACCTTTTAAATCCAAGTTTATGTTCAAAAGATTATGGATCCAGATTTGTGGTTTATGTGATATGATGATTGATGAATGATGACTCTAAAAAACTAGCTTGCAAAGTGAAAGACCAAGTGATATGCACTCGGGGTTTATCCCACAAAGAGAAAAGACGTGTCCTTAAGTAAGTTAAGATTCAATTTGTTCAGAGATGATGACACCTTTTCCTCTGGCTACAAGCCTGAAGTACTTCATGACTTATTTGTTAAGGGTGATAAGGATTTTAAACTAATGTTATCTGTTAAATATATTCTTATACTTTTTAATGTTTTTATTGTTTTGCAGACTCATAGTGACTTAATCTTCCTTTACTTATAAAGATACTAAGGGTGAGGCAAAGGCCTAAGAAGATAGAAAGAGAGTGGATGGTGGGCCAAGATGAACTCCCAGCAACGACCTCGGCAAGTTTTAGCTATAGTTTTTTAGACATGAATTTTAAAGTCAGTAAAAGAGTTTTTTAAGTTCAGTTTTATTTAAATTTAAGTTATAGAAAATTCCTTGTCCCAGATGGTTATAACGTTTTGTTGATTGTTAACTTTACACTCAGTTTAAGTTTATATCGAATTTTACATCTTCTTTGTCAAAAAGTTATTAGATTGCAGTTTTGTACTCTTGGTTGAAAGAAATTAGTTAATTTAGCATTTTCCCCTGTACTCTAAGAGGGGACGTTACACAATTTTAATCTAATATCTTTGGCTCCCTCAGATAAGGTGCTCAATTGCATTCTTATATTAGATTAGATACAAGGGGTGATTTTAACATACTCGTGGAGCAAGTGCATTCTTATTTTACCTATATATTTATCATTTGGATGACTAATGGTTTTCTATATCCATACAAATAAGAACTCATTTATACGTGAATCATTATACGTACTCAAAGAGAATAAAAGCCTTATAAAGCACATAAAGAAAATAAAATGTATATACACTTGCTTCTCATCTGAAAAGTACATATATTCATTTAATTTGTTCTGACTGGGAAAATATTCAGGTCGTTGGAGTTGATAACACTTTTCGTAAAAAATTTGATCGAGAAGAATACTTGCAGCGTGCCCGTGAACGAGAAGAAAAGGTTTAAATGTTTTATATGTTTTGCTTCTTTTTTGCTCTCTTTTTATTATCTTTTTTGTTGTTCAGAGCACATCAATTTCTATTGTCTCATGTTGTAGGAGGCTGATGGACAAAGGGCAAAGTGTAAGACAATCTTTTTACAATGCTATTGTTCTCCATTTATTCTTATTGGACAAATACCTAAAAATGATCTTAATCTCTTTATAGATAACCTTGTTTGACCTGAATTTTTAATGGCCCTGATTAGCTCTAAATTGAGACAACTCAATATGCACTATGCACTTATTAAACGCTGGTTGTCGTAGGCATGCCATGTATGATGGATGGATGTGCCTCAAACAAAAATGTGATTAAGTATGTTATAAAGGTCATTACTGTTTATAATTTATATGAATAGTTTCAAAACCGTAAAGAAATTTATCATCATTCAATATTTCAGCTCAAATTATATAAAGATTTAGGATTTATATTGTGTTTTTTCCTATGGTGCAACTAGTCTTTCATCCATTGCTGCCTTCTTTTATGCACCTACATCTTTTTTGAGTTTGAGGTGCCTTCATACATGAAATGCTTATGACAACTCAGTTTTCGGAGATTATGGGTCAGTATTGGGTTATCGTGGCTAGTTTAGGAGTCAATTTTAGGTATTTATCATTGTTAATAGTTATTGGGGTGTCAACGAAATTTGGAAATTAATCAGTTCTCCAGCATTAGTTTCACCTTATTGAAAAGATATACTTGCGCAGCACGAGGTCCTCCCGTGCAGAGGAAACCCTTGAAGCAAAGGGATTACGAAGTGGATCTTGAGTCCCGATTGGGAAAGACCCAGGTGAGAAGCTAACCACATTTTCTCATAACTGCTAGCTAACCCTTTGAATGGGTGTAGCATTTTAATTTTGATACCCTTTGATTGGTTTTTATTTAAATGTTACTCCCAAATACTTTGCCACTATTCCTTTTAATCAATTAATTTTTATTTTTTTAATATGTTTCTCTCCTCTATAGAAACCTCAAACACAACACAACGCAAATTTTACTTTATTGTATATTTGTCTAATATCATGGTTGTGTGGGCCATTTTGGCTGACTAATCCCACAGACCCTATAGTTAATAATGGGGCAAACCTCCCATTGCTCTTATAGAAGTCGGACTAGCAACATGATAAACATTTTAGTCTAGGGTCCGAACCAGCCAAGCTACCCATCCCTGTTTTATTGCAATAATGGCATGTGAAAACATTGAGCAAAAAAGTTGCTCAAGCACAAATGCACATGTAATATGCATTCATCATTGCGACACCGTTTACATGTTAATTGTTTTCATGACACAAGGTTTTCCGTAGTTTGGCTAATATTTAATTCACTAGGAGGCACATTTAGCTGCATCACCTCTACATTTAGTCATTGTGTTTTATCAATTTCTGCTGTATTTATTCCTTTCAATGATTCAAGAAATAATTGAACATTTCCTGATTGTTGACTCTTTTAAATCTTGACACTGTTATTTAATTGTAACATTTAAAATGCATATGGCATTTATTGTTGTAATATGTACTATTTCATATTTCTGCTGACATCTAGTATCATCATTGTCATCTGTTTCTGTTAGGTTGTGACTCCAATTGCCCCCCTAAGCCAACAGGTACATTCCAGTCCCAACCATGCCTTTCATTTCATTCATAGTTTCTGGTTTATGATGGTTTTTGGACTTTGCTTTCTGATATTAAGAAAGCCCTATAGGCTCTTCATGACTAGGCGCTGTTCAAAGCTGTTTATTCTATCTAAAGAAGAAATCATCAGGATGAGTAACGATACATCTTTTGATGATATAAATGATTTAATAAAAAGACTCTGATGGAAAGCATAATAATGATTTCCTAAATAATGCTGTATCTTGTTGCTTACCTTTAAAAATAATTATTCAATAAGTGCCTGTCATACTTTAGAGTGTCATTGAATATGTATTAAGAGTAGTTATTGTGTTAGATTTAATTGAAACTAATCGGACACTATTACAAGTTAACTAATTAAAGTTAATACTACTGACTGCTTTTGTAATCGTAGACAACAATACTTACATACTAGTATACGGTAGTTAACAAGTTGCATTCAATGAGACAATTCTTGCACTCTAAGACCACTATCTTTTCATACAAGTGATACAAGTACAGGACTGTACAAATGAACTGAGACTTTCTCTGTTATGAGTCTTATGACCTTCAAAAATAAAATCCGAACATACTCCCTCCGTCCCTCAAAGTTTGTCACACTTTGACTTTTGCGGTCTTCTAGGTAGACGTTTGACCGTAATTATCTATTAATATATACCTATAAAATCTATAATAAATTGACATTTGAATAATACATATTACAAAGAATCACATTAAATAATTTTTTGGGATAAAATATAATTAATTTTGAGTAATTAGCGGTCAAAGTTTAACAAGTTTGACTGAAAAAGTCAAAATGTGACAAACTTTGAGGGACGGAGGGAGTATATAATAGTACACAAAGGTTGTAGAAATTCTGTGCCATTTTGCTTTGAAATGACAGAGTCAAAGTTTTCACATGCCTACGTCATTTTTCTTTCAGTGTCTTTTCTGTGAGAATAAACTGAATTTGCAAATACTCAATACATGCAACTTCCAAGATTCAATCTAGGAGAAATTTTGAGAACATAATCCCACTAATTCTGCTAAAAGAACAGAAGTTTTTTTTTAAATAATAGTAATCATAATAAATCCGGTGAACACACTATACAAGGGAATGTACGTGTCACATGTTATATATAGACTACAAAGTGAAATGTGCAGGCGTGCAGAAGCAAATAAAATGGAATGGTATATCTTAAACACATAAGACTTCTGATTTCCGGTTAGTGTCATCCTAATGAAACAAAATTAACATTTGAAACCCCCACAAACTGACAATACAATAATCAGAATCAAGGCGATGATACTCCTCAGGACAATGAACTTTATCTTCATGTTCTGTAACCACATCTTCCTCACCTGAGTTCCATTTGTTCTGAATTCCTGTGCCTGTGAGCGAAGGTTCTCACTTTTGTCTACTAAAATCTCAATCTTCTCACCACAGTCAAGAACATTTTCAATGTTTTCCATCATCACTCCTTTGACTTCTGAAACCTGAGCTTTCACCTTTGCTAGCTTACTGATCTCTTCTAGATGATCCACACAGTACTGCATCTGCTCCTTCATCTTGGGCCCAAACTCTCTATTCAAGCTACCTGAAACAGCTGTAGTGGCTTTACCTACTCCATATTTCTTGGTAAACTCTTCCTTTATGCTCTCAAGAAATGCAATGGGAATCTGTCTGCCAACAGCTTCTACCGCAACAACACAATATGTGAAGCCATCATTGACGAGGTAGTTAAATGTGTGGCCATCACAGTTGTAAGTAAACTTGTTGTTGGTACATGAAGTTTCTGGAGGCATTCCGAAGCTATGCTGGTGAAATTGCCGTTGAACTCTGTACTCAGAGTGGATCACCGTGCCTCCTGCCACGAAGCTGTAGATCAATGACTGCTGCCCCATTTCCGGCTGGCCTTTCTCCCAAACCAACTCCTAGTCAATGTAGTTCTAGAGAGAGAAATATAGGGAGAGAAGGTGTGCTGGTCTGGTATGAGAGAGAGAGAGAGAGAGGAAAAAGAACAGAATGAATTTAAAACACAGAATCACAGCCTAAAAAATAAGGAACCAAAAACCATAAGTTCAGACAATGAGTAATACTCCCTCCGTCCCGCTTATACTTCCTGCTTTCCTTTTTGGGCCGTCCCACAATCATCTTCTCATTTCCCTAAATGAAAAGTTATCCTACATCAAAACAGTGCAAAACAGTGCCAAACAGTGCCTAAACAGTGCCTAAACAGTGCCAAACAGTGTCTAAACAGTAAAGTCAAATTTATTTCCTAAATATGTGTGTAGGTCAAAGTAGGAAGTTAATAGCGGGATGGAGGGAGTAACAAATAACCATTCTGGTCAACTTTTTCCAACACCCCCAACCGGTGAGTGTACAATACTCATATCTAGTTTGAATACATCTGCTTGGTAAGAATCGATGCCTTCTGTGATTCGGTTGACACATGATAGGAAGTTCTTTATCTTTAAAGGACTAACTGATGCTGCACCTTTCACTGCTAACATGTCGTATTAGGCATAATTGCGATTGTTGACTTGCATAATCACTGTGTAGCTTCATTGTACAATCAGTGGAACCTCTAACTCTGAAACTACAAACAGCTTGTACAACTTTCCTTTATTCTGCTTCTGCACTACTTTTTTTACTCAATAGTTGGATTCGTACTTCTCCATGTAACAACACTACCTCAAGCCATTATACAATATTCTGAGGTAGACAGTAGGCTTACTATATTCTTTGGGGACTAAAGACACATTTTATATTTACTTTCTAGCAATTTCTATCAGCAGAAAACACTTTAACTTCCTAAGGGATTTGAGCCTTTAACTTCGAGTTCAGACTGCACTAAGACCTTCAGTTTTTTAATTTAGTCATCGTCATAGTCGGTCATACACAGTTAGGATCAAACTTTTCCCATTCTTTGACTGTTTCACAAAAGGGTGTGATCTACTTGGTCTTGTGTGTATCCCAATCTTTTCATGGATTTGATTGACTGATGAAATATGCTCTAGACGATTGTTTTTAACCCATGTACATATTTCTTCACCTGTTTTTTGCCCAGCCTATCAGACAGTTTCATGTAGAGGTCTTTATCAAGAGTTTTGTGTAACTTGAAACCATTTGAAATGTCCATTTGGTGCACCCAACCCAAGTTGGCTGCCAAAGACAAAAGAACCCTTATAGAGTTCATTTTTGCAACTAGTGCAAAAGGTTTTTCATAGTCAAGACTCAAGAGCGTATCTTTGAGTGTACCATTAGGCATCCAAACACGCATTGTACCTCTATTTTTCCTTTTGAGGCTACTTTCACTGTAAAAATCCTTTTACATCCCACTGGGCTCTTCCCTTCAGGTGTATTTAGAGCTTCACGTGTTTTATTGTCATCAAGTAAATAAAATACATTATCTATTTTATATATAAAAAGTGACAATACGGCAAATGATTTGAAGTTGGAGATTAAGTACATGATATACCTTCTTTCTTTGAGAAAGAAAGTACTATTAATCCCAACATTAAAGGTATAATGAGAAGAAAACTAGTTCACCCATCCATAGCTTATAATGAGGAAACTAAATGAATAAAATCAGACAGTAATTTAGATAACTGAATCAGTGTGGTTGATACTTTTCTACAAATGGAACTGGGGAAGGATTCATGTTCAGTTCTGATGCTCTTTCTCAAACTTCTCTCCGTCACGTTATAATATATTTGGTATTGCAGGCCGGATACTATTGCTCAGTTTGTGAATGTGTTGTAAAAGATTCAGCGAATTACCTAGACCATATCAATGGGAAAAAGCGTACGTCTTCTTACCTATGACTAATGAATATTTGTACTCCTCTAACCGTTAAATTACTGTTCCTTTTCTTTTTAGTTTATAAGTTCTTAGTTTATTATTTTATTAAGTTTTCATGTCTCTCAGATCAACGAGCTTTGGGTATGTCTATGCGAGTGGAGCGGGCATCTTTGCAGCAGGTTAGCAAGATTAGTATCTTGACAAAATTGAAGTTTAGTTAGGCTGTGGCAATGACTGAAACAATCACTATGCAATATGTACACGTTTGTTAATCTAAAGTTCTTTTCTTTATAGGTACATAGTGGATGTCAGATTTTACTGCATGTCAAAATGTTTGCAAATGTATTTGCCGACTCGATTCATTAAAAAACTGATATGCATGTGTTTCTAGAATTAGTTGAACATCATTTTACACCAATACAAATAATTGAATCGTTAAGCAATACTTGGATTAAAAAAATTGTTTTTCAGAATGAATGAAGACTTGAAGAGTGTATGTTGTGGCGGCGGTAGCGATTAGGTGGGCCTACCTCTTGTCTTGCAAATTATATTTATATCATTCTAAGATCAATTCTAAATTTAAGATCCTGATCACATATTAAGAGGGTAACATGATATTAATCTTCTCAGTGTGTTTTTGAGATAATTTTTTATTGGAGTCAGCAGTTACTATTTGCATTTACAAACATTGGAAATTCGAGGTTCCATCTCTGTGAATTTTGATAAACCGGCCTGTTATGGCCTATTTTGCTTTAAACGATTCTGTGGCTGTTCATTCCCTGACAAATATGAGAAAACTAAGAGATACAAGGAACCATCTGGTGTGGATGTTCTGCAAGGGAGTAGCCACTATGGTATATAATTAATCAAACGTAGAATGAATAGAATCAATAGAGGGTGCATATTCTTTTTTGAATAGAAAATTACATCATTTAATACTCATCATATTGCTAATCATTTAGAATTAGTGGATGAAACAACTAGCTAATTAGTGGATGTTGACTTTGGTATAACTAGCAGTTTGTTGATTATGGAATCAAGTCATATAGCTAGGAAGCAGGAACCATACAGGCTTGGTCCGTATTATAATGTTATATGATTATTAACTATTAATTACATAAATTATCAAATTATGTGTCCCTGACTATTTTGTATCAAAAATTTAGGTCCAAGAGCGATTTGAAATGCTGAAGAAACGGAAAGATAGTTCAAGCATTACTGTTCAAGGTGGGTGTTAAATGGAATTGAGACTCTCAGTTCATGCTCTCCATGGTCTAACCTTTTATAGTTTTTTTCATTAATGAAAGAATAATAGAGATGTTCTGATTGGACACTTTTGATCTTTTTGGAGAGTTTGTATGTCTGTCCTAGTCTCCTAGATTACCTTTTTCTAGTTCTAGGGAATAATGAAAAATGAAAATTGAAATAATACAGCTATTCATTCATTCAATTTCCTTTTCAGATTTTGATGAGAAGGTGTTGAAACAACAGCAAGAAGAGGAGGAGCGGAAACGGCAACGTCGAGAAAAGAAGAAAGAGAAAAAGGTTAGTATATGGTTTAAAGCCAATTTTGCCTTCTTAGCAGCTTTTGGAAATACCTATCATGTCATCATCATCATCATTTATCATTACTTTTCTTCTTCTTCTTCTTCTTCTTCTTCTTCTTATTATTATTATTATTATTATTATTATTATTATTATTATTATTATTATTATTATTATTATTATTATTATTATTATTATTATTATTATTATTATTATTATTATTATTATTATTATTATTATTATTATTATTATTATTATTATTATTATTATTATTATTATTATTATTATTATTATTATTATTATTATTATTATTATTATTATTATTATTATTATTATTATTATTATTATTATTATTATTATTATTATTATTATTATTATTATTATTATTATTATTATTATTATTATTATTATTATTATTATTATTATTATTATTATTATTATTATTATTATTATTATTATTATTATTATTATTATTATTATTATTATTATTATTATTATTATTATTATTATTATTATTATTATTATTATTATTATTATTATTATTATTATTATTATTATTATTATTATTATTATTATTATTATTATTATTATTATTATTATTATTATTATTATTATTATTATTATTATTATTATTATTATTATTATTATTATTATTATGAGATGATGATGATGCCTTCCATGTAGAAGCATGGATATCTTTTTCATTGATAGGTCACTCGTGTTTCTCTACGGTTTATGTTCTGCAACATATTGTTTTGACACCAATTTGTTCATAAAATTTCGTTTATAGAAAGAGAAATCAACAGAAGAGGAACCCGAAGAGGACCCTGATGTTGCCGCACTGATGGGATTTGGAGGTTTTCGGACATCTAAGAAGTAATTTCGCACTTGCAGCTAACCTTAAAACTGCTCTATTAATGTGTGAGGGTTGTCTGCTATATCCAGTTGTCACATTTCACACTTTAATATTGCAGAAAAATGTTCATTGTATTTCCAGGCAATCCATGGTACGTAGTATGTATTATCTCACTGTTCATTTTTCACCGAGTGGAGTAATTTCATTGTGACAATCACATGAATTTGTGAGCTGTTAAAGACTATTAGCAATTTAGCATAACGCATGAGTGATTATCTAGCCTAGACACTTGTAAAGAATTGATAATTTTCAAGGTTTAATATCCAAAATGATACTCCGTATTATGCAGTATATTATTTCTCTTTACAACTATATTATGTAGTATACTAGTATTATTAACATACTCTTATGCTCCCCAATCCCAAACTAAACTTTCCTGTTTCCGTCAAGGAAAAATATCAGTTCTTAACTTCTTATCCTTTCAATATTCTTAATTCAAATTTCGATCATTTTTTCTCCTTTTCAACTACTTCATTTTATTTTCAAAAAAAAAAACTACATTTTAATTCAGGATGCAAGGAGTAATAAAAAACGGATTGATCGTCAAGTCTTTAACCTTTTTAATGTGATGTTCATTCTTTCAGAATATGCAATACTCTTTTTTTTTTTTTTTTTTTTTGGATGAAATGTAAATTTATATTAACACCCAAAGAAACTCTGTACAAGACATGTCCTAGATCTCCTAAAACCTCCCCCACCCCACCTAAAGTGGGGGTGAAAGGAGGTTTTTATTCGATCTATTTAATGCCCCAAAAAGGACCAAGCATGGTACTTGGTCAATCGAAAAAGTACAAAAGAAGTACATCGGAGCTGCTATGGCACGCTCACAGATCGGAGGCTAAAGCATCAAAAAAATACAAGGATGGTGCTAAATGCAACGCATCCCAACAAATTCTAAAGTTTTGTCAGTGCCGCGACAAAATTCACGCCTATGGCCGTGTCATCCAAGTCCCACCTCCCATGGCAGTATCAAGGGTTAAGGGATTAACCTTAGTCAACATTGCCCATGCGTCATGCCTCCCCGGAGGTTTCTGCGGCGGCATTGCGGCTACATACATCCGCCCTCAAATTCCAGAAGGTATGTTGTTATGATCCTCTTCACAATTTAACCAAATCATGCGGGTAAATGTTGAACAGGATCTTATACACAACATATTTGATCTTTAAGATAATATCCTGTTCTGTTCGTTTCCCATCATCAAATCTGATTTCATTCCGTGCATGCCAGATGTGGTAGACCGTCGCACAGAACGCAATTCGAGTTGCTTTAGCTTTCAACTTTGAGCCTTTGTGCGTCTTCATGATCCATTTTACTGCACTAAGTAGTGTTGTCATGTCTCGCGTCAACCCCAGCCATTCCCGAATTTCCTTCCATACCCTACAAGTAAAGGAACACCGGAAGAAGAGGTGTGGTATTGTTTCATAACCACCCTTGCACAAATCACAACGGTTAACTATATGAAGATAGCCAAGGCTATCCTGCGTAGGAAGCCGGTTTCGAAAGGCAAGCCATGCATTAAACGAAAATTTTGGAGGAATATAGGACTTCCATATGAAACTCATAGGAGCCCTAACCCCACTCTTGACTCTTAACAGCTCATAAACCTTTGCGGAGGCTAATTTACCATTCACGGTTCGCGAGGTAAGTCCCAATATCATGTCATTATGATTGTTAAAACACGATCGAATCTTATCTCGAATGAGACTCAACCTTTTCATTAGTTGAGAGTCTCGGGTGTGTGGGACATAGTCCCACACGGTTCTACCCTTAAGATAGACACCGTTCACCCACCTCACCCAGAGGGTGTCTTTCTTTCTATGGACGTCCCATAAGGTACGGGAGAGGAGAGCATGATTCCATACCTTCGCATTATGAATCCCAAGCCCCCCTTCCTCTTTAGGAAGACAGATATCATCCCAAGCCACCTTAGAGAACTTCCCACCCCAGAGGAAGATACGGCATATCGAGACAATTCTATCTAGAATCGTTTGGGGGACGGGGAAGACTTGAAGCCAAAACGACTGGACCCCTTGGATCACAGAACGTATCAGCTCCATTTTTCCCGCATAGGAGATGGTCTTAGTATTCCAAGTTTTTAGGAAATTATTAACAATCTCCAAAAGGGGAGCATACTGAGCCACGGAAACTTTGAGTGGCGCGAGAGGAATTCCAAGGTATCTTACTGGAAATTCCCCACGCCTATAGTCCACAAGGTCAAGGATATTTTGTAATTCAAAGTCATGCACACCCCCCACAAAGATATTCGACTTGGTATTGTTAACTCTAAGGCCTGACACATCCCCAAACTCTTTAAGAGTGTTGATAAGTATCTCAATGGAGTACTTGTCGCCCCTAGAAAAGAGCATAAGATCATCTGCATAGGCCAAGTGAGTTATACCCAAGGTACCACACAGGGGGTGATAATTAAAACTCGAAGAATTAGCTCTAATGGTTAGGAGTCGCGAAAAGTATTCAAGACAAACCACAAAGAGTAATGGGGACATAGGGTCCCCTTGCCTAATACCTCGCTTACCCTTAAAAAAACCATGCAAAATTCCATTCAAAGACACGGAAAAAGATGCAGTAGAAACACACACCATAATCCAATCAACAAAACGCTCGGGGTAGCCCAAGCCCCTGAGCACACCCGCTAAAAAGTCCCATGATATGGTATCATAGGCCTTGCGCAAATCCACCATAATCATACAACGAGGTGATATACGTTTCCTATTGTATCCTCTAACAAGTTCCTGGGCAAGGAAAATGTTATCAAACATTAGGCGGCCATCCACAAAAGCACCCTGTGCTTGGTTAATCAAACCCGAAAGTGTGGGGGACATTCTAGTCGCGATGATTTTTGCAATGATTTTGTAAAGAACGTTCGTACAAGAAATTGGTCTAAAATCTGAGACCTTTGGGGAGTGATTTGTTTTAGGAATTAGCGCTATAACAGTATGATTTAACTGTTTTAGTAGCTTTCCCGAGTCAAAAAACTCTTTGATCGCACGGATCACATCCTCCCCCACAATATTCCAATTCTTTTTAAAGAAGGCCGATGAATAGCCATCCGGCCCCGGTGCCTTATCATCCCCAATATCGAACAAGGCATCCTTAATTTCCTTGTTAGATACCGGAGATACAAGGCTATCATGAACGCTTGGTTCAATCATAGGGCCTGTTCCCATGACCGATTGGTCAATGGAGGAGCAATTCATCTCAGTGCCAAATAAATCAATAAAAAACTTTACAAATTCTCTACCAACTTGATCCGCAGATGTAGTACAACTGCCATCATCAAGGGTAAGAGAAGTAATTGTGTTCCGGGACATGTTCCGCTTAACAATAGCGTGAAAGTACCGGGTTCCTTTGTCGGCTTCAAGAATGTGTGTCGCTTTTGCCTTTTGTTGGTAGAACCTACACTCGGCCTCCCCTAGGAATGTTGCCCTTTTTCTAGCCACCATCAACTGTTCTTTAAGCTCATCATTATGGGGCGAAGCAAACCACAACTTGTTTAGCCTCTTGAAGTCATCCTTCGCACACTTTGCCTTGGTAGATATATGGCCAAACTCCATCTTGTTTAGTTCCTTAAGAGGTTGTTTAAGTCTCTTTAGTTTCTTAGCAATTTGGTATTGAGCCGTACCTACAATTGTCACATTCCAACTTTGCAAAACAACATTAGCAAAAGCATGGTGTTGAATCCACATATTAAAGAATTTAAATGCCCTTGGCCTATTGGACGTGTTATTGAGTATTGATATTACGGATGCCGTATGATCAAACTCAACCTCCATTTCATGGAAATGGGCCACAACCGATAAGCCAATTTGGCTCCAAACATCATTTAACAATACACGATCAAGTTTCGCCCAGATTGTCCCTTTATTCCACGTAAAGAATTCACCAGTAGAGGGAGCATCTTCTAGGCTCGCTTGGATTTTAAAATCAAATAGGTGTTGCATCATGTAAGCTGTGGGGGGGTTACTCCCCAACCTTTCATTCGGAGCACACACACAATTAAAGTCCCCCGCTATAACCCAAGGTTTGGTAATACCATTCCCTAAGATAGCAAGTTCATCCCATAATGCTTTGCGCTCCAAGACAGTATAAACTGGGTACACCATAGTAATTAAAAAGTCCAATTGGGAGGTACAACATATACCTCCGATGTGCATAAACTGTGACTCAACAACCTGAATAGTACAATTTACTATGTACGGGTTCCACATCAATGCCATACGGCCACCATTTATTTTTGAAAAATTTGTTTCAAACTCCCAGCCAGGCCATTTGTTTGAGACAAACTTTTTAAAACTGGCCTCAGTCATTTTTGTTTCAAGAAAACAACAAACGCTAATATTATTAGACTTAATATAACTAGCAATTATATTATGTTTGGAGGTTTTATTCAAACCCCGAACATTCCACACAAGAAAATTAACCATAAATAATATAATTTAAATTTTAGTAATCCGAGAGCATAGGTACCCTCAAATAAACCCGTAAGGTATCAAGAAAGGTAGAAATCCGGGTTGAAATCATCCGGGTCAATTCCTCCTTTGTCCTTCTTTTCTTTTCTTGCCCTTCTCCTCATTTCTTTTAAATATTTCTTATTCCTGTCCAGGTTAGGGTCAAAGAAAGATAATACGCGAGTAATAAATTTAGATTTATCAAATTCATACCAATCATCCTTCTTTTTAACCTCCGGGCAGCTGAGTAGGAAGTCTTCGGTGAAGTTTACAACATTGTCATCGGCACTAGGCTCATCCAGATTAGGTCCCAGTCTGACAACGGTGACTCCCTTCGGTATATGATCCGTTTCCCAAGCATAGGCAACTGTTTTGCCCTTATCATTCACCTCAAATGTTGTGATGACATCGTCGAACCCCATTTCATACATATTTGTCACCAAATAGCCCTTGCCCCCATTAATTTCTTTTTCTCCACGGGTTTCAACGAATGGAATGGAACCGGCAGCCTGCTCTTTCATGCAGACCAGTCTCCGGGAGTTCCAATAGTCAACATTTTCCTTGGCCTTTTACAATGATAACAGAAGTCCGGGAAGGTCTCATAGGTCACACGTTGCAAATATTCCTTTCCCGATGGGGGGACAATAGGAAATTGGGTGATAGGAGCCTTAGAAATGTCCACTTCAATGAGCACTCTAGCGAAATGGGTGTAGACCGTATCCTGTGTGACCTTATCAGTGGTGATAGGCACACCCACTTGAGACGCGATCATTCCCAGCTCCCTTGCCTTCCAAAGCCGCATGGATAAGTTAGGGAATTTTACCCAAATGGGCACCTTAAGAAACTCATCTCCGTCCGTTGAAAAGTCCTCAGATAACACTTTAAGGAACATAGTTTTACCATACAAGATATAGGGCCCCTCGGCCAGCACATGCATCCGGTCTTCATCAGATTTGAATTTAAAGATGACCCAACCCTTGCTGTGAGATTTGACTTCCACATCTACAGACCAGTTTGCAATCATCTCATGAATGGCCTTCAAACCTGGGAATCTGCCAGAGAAATGGCCGACTAAGCAGTAGCCCCAAACTTCAATCAAAGTAGGAACTTTGAGGTGTGAAAAGTCAAGTTTTTCCCCCGTGGGGGGGAAGTACTCAAGTTTGAGCCCGCTGGTTGGGGCTCTATTGTCTCGGAATAGGGAGGTCCACTTCTTGGGAGCATTTTCAGGGACAATATTTTCCTCCACAGTCTTCAGAGGTAGTGTGTCCTGAGACCCCAGCGAAATTGATATTTCAGGCTCAGACTGGCTGTCTACATCAGTTTGATCCAAAGATTCAATGATAGGTTCCTTCCCCGGTAAGATAGCAAGAGATAACTCAGTTTGTGTGACAAGGTTTGAGGAAGCAGATCCCATGCCAAGTAGTGCAGCAGCATACGACCCAACTACCTCAGAGCCTTGAGAAGCAGTAGGTTTGTTAGCCATGTCCGGAAGGGGGGCAGGTGTTAACTCATGGGAAGGAGTATCACCCTTATCAGTTTGTGTACAGGCTGAAAGGGGGCGACCAGATTCTTTGTCAGGAACCACATTATGGAGAGTGGTTGTCTCCATAGCATTGGAGATCAGACCTGCCTCCACATTGGTTGGCACAGCAGTGGCCTGTATTTCCAGGGCGTGTGAAGCTTCAGTGGAGTTAGAAGAGAAAACAGGGCAATCAGCAGGTAGGACCTCCTTGAAAACACCCTTGTTGATCATCCTCTCAGACTGGATTGCAAGTTTTGCAGCCTTCTTGTCATTCAAGTACTTAATTTTGTCCTCAAACAATTTATCTTTTGCCGGAGGGGTACGATGTTGCTTATTCTTCCTTGTCATTTGGAGTTTACAGCAGCCTGCATGTTAGTCAGCACAAAAACAAACAACCAGGCCCCAAAGGTGACCACACTGACCCAAGCTGGACCAGACAAGGAATATTTCACCCAGACTTACTCCACAGAATGAAGCAGCAGGAGAAAGCAGTACAAGATAGATACACACAATACTCCACAAAAGCTACTATTCAGAACCCAGAATCACAGGTCACACGTATACAGAACAACTCAGAAAGCAGTATGTTTGAACCAAGAGCTTCAAATTAGTAATTCAAAACAAACAAGTTCACTCACACAAAGCAATCTGAAATGGAAGGAGCAGGGTATGAAGATTCGCAGAGTCACAAAGAGGGAAGGGGATATGCCAATTAATTTAAAGGAACTGGAAAAAAGAAGACTTAGCTTCGTAGTAACCCAGCCAGAGCCTCCGTATAACCAGCAACCAGAATATGCAATACTCTTTCATTGACAATGTGCACTCTTTAAATATTCGAAAATATTCAGTCTTTTCGAAAAGATTGGTTTTGAATTTTTGATAATGACGTATATTCAGTCTTTAAATAAACTGACTTCAGTCTTTAACCTCTATTTGTACCTTTACTATATTCGAAAATATTTCGGAAAGATTGATAATGAACTTTCTTTCATTCTTGATATAATGGTTTTGATACCAAATCCTACGTAAAAGATTGGTTTTTTAACTTAAAAGATCGGTTTTTTAAATTTCAAATCAATTTAATAGTCAAAGTATTTGGCGTTGAAATTTGAAAAGTGGTGAAAGTAAGGGGTGGACCGGTTCCGGTTCGGGCCCGGTTCGGGCCTGGGCCCGGCCGGGCCTCGGTTCAGAAAAAGGAGGCCCGAGCCCGAACCGGTGGTGGGCGGTTCCGGTTCCGGTTCCGGGCCAGAACCGGGCCGGGCCACCCGGAATGTTTTTTTTTTTCTTCTTCTTCTTCTCTTATTTAACCCCCTACCCCTCCACCTCCACCCCAAACCACCCCAAATGGCCCAAAATACCTAATCCAACCCAAAACTTAAAAAAATTTCAAAAAAAAAAAAAAAAAATTAAATTCCGGCCCGAACCGGGCCCGGCCCGGCCGGGCCGGTTCACTAAACTGGAGGCCCGGGCCCGGACCGGTATACCACCGGGCCGGGAGGCCCGAACCGGAACCGAACCGGTTCACCGGGCCGGTCCGAGCCCGCACAGTAGCGGGCCGGTCCGGTTCCGGGCCGGTTGGCCCGGCCCGAGTCCATCCTTAGGTGAAACAATATCCATCATCCATGGGTTCACTCATTCAAGAAAGCATACAACTATACAAGATATTCAAAAAGCTAAAACTATTACAATCCTATCAATCCTATCAAATGTCATCACAATAACAAGAAGAGAAAACATGCAAATAAGCCTTGAACTATTTGCGATTTTGCAATCAGACCTCTGAACGGAAGAATTACAAATACACCCCTCAATTCATTGAAAATCAAGCAATTAGGTCCTTTTTTACCCACTGGTGTCGGTAGTTTCTCATCTCCTTACCTGCACTAGCAAGTAAGAAAGGACCTGATTGCTTGATTTTCAATGAGTTGAGGGGTGTATTTGTAATTTTTCCGATTCAGGGGCCTGATTGCAAAAACGCAAATAGTTCGAGGCCTTATTTGCCTGTTTTCTCTAATAAGAATTTCATTATAAAATATTGAAAAGTACTATAGGTACCTCATTTTGGGGTACCCAATTTTCGCCCACCCCTATTGTGTGGCTTAAATAGAGCAATTCATTTAAGTCGGACAACTCATTTAAATGATGGGCTCATTTAAATGAAAATATTGAGAAAATCAAGTTTATGAAAATATCAATGGAAGGCCAAACAATGAAGCCAAACAAGGAAAATTCATAAAACAAAGACAGTTGCCAATCACCAAAATAAAAAATTTAAGTTTGTAAAAAAGTAATTTTCATTAATTAATTTTCAAAAAAAAAAATATTACTACGTACGTAGTATTAGACTATTAGTTACTTTTAATGTCAAAAAATAATAAATAAATACACGACAGTTGTGCGTTAAGGGTAACATCTACCACATTAGGTGACCCATGATGTTATGTAGGACTTAAAATGAAAGGAAAAAACCAACTGAGCGCAAAATGTCAAATATGCACCAATTATGATTGAATAATATCAAAAATTTAAAAATAAATGTAAAATGATGTGAGCTAACCAGGGGCGGACTCTGGGATTCATTTGGATGGGGTGAACCTTTTAAACTAAGTATTACTATGACTAGAATATAAAAATAAACTTATTGATAGTCATACGTGCGTCTTCTACATTTTTTGAGTCAATTTTCAGGTTTTAAAACAAGTAAAATAACTTTACATAATACTCCTGTGTCCCGCTAAGATTGCCTCATTTTTCTTTTTCGGTTTGTTCCACTAAGATTATCTCGTACCAAATTATATAAAATTTATTTGATTGTAAATTAGTTTTACTATATTTTTACACTATCAATTCAATATCAATCACATCACCCACTTATCTTAGTAACCGCACCACCTCCTCATGTCCTAATGTTAGTGACAGTTATCACTAGTAGTATCAACCGTGAAGGTAGTATCAATTATTGCCAAGAATAATACACCAATTAAATAGTTATTTCATATCACACCAACTCGAATATATAAAAAAAATGATACAAAGTAATTTCTAGTTTCAAATTTGATCATTCAAATAATAATAAATTTAATTCAAAACATCAAATAAATCTAATTTGATGGTCAAATATGATGCTTTCATAGATACATTGGCCCGGTTTGGTGATGACAAAATCGATCTTTATTATATGTAATATGTACATATTTGACTTTAAAAAATCAAAAATGTTTCTCAAATAAACTTATTTACAAAAATATCATTAAAAGTTACTATGGTATAGTGTCGTTGTCACTACACGTAAGACATAAATATGTAATTATTACATATATTTATACTTGACCCTCATTTCATTTATAGAGGTGGTGTTACCTATATTACAAGAACCAGACCCAGAAGCGACCCGAAAAAATGGCCTGGTCACAGGTCAGTCCGGACCCGAAAAACTGGCCGGACACGGGTCAACATTTTTAATTTCATATATTTATATATACATGACAATATGTAAAATTAAAAATAATATTAACATAACTATATTTATTACAAAATCTTAAAAATAACATATAAATATTTTAACCTAGCATTCCAGCCCAGCTGGTTGTGAGGTTACTGTGCCTAATGGGAAGTCTCGAGTTCGAAACCCGCTAGGCAGATAGGGGTTCGAAACTCAATGGAGTAAGTTTCAGCCTGATTACTCTAGGCTCTCCCAGCCCCCAGAACCCTCTGGAGTAAAAAAAAACATATAAATACTTTTTACTAGTATTTGATGTTTATACACATAATAGGATAGTGAAATATAAAAAATACATAATCAGATAACAACAATCATATAATATATTATATTAAGTGTTTATATTAAATAATACGGATTGCATAAGAAGTTAAAATTTATGCTAATGGAATAAGACAACCTAAAGAGCACTTATTGTCAACCAGTACAAGTAGCATATTGTCAACCAGTAAATCTCAATATGGTCTCAAACAACTTTTGGTGTGCACAAAGAATCATGACATTGGATAAAACTCTCATGCTGCCTGATAGCGTAATTTTGGACCCCCTCTCATGGCTATTGAGTTTGGACAGCGGCTCACATACACCTAGTAGATCAGATAATATTTATGGAGTATATTATTGTACATGTTAGTTTATTCATTTGTTTATACATAGTAACATAGTACAAGATTCATTCGTTTTTAATATCGTTGGTCAAATCAAACTCATATCAGCGGCCCGACTCATATTTCCCTATATATAGCTTGTAAACTCTATCACATTCATTCATTCTGAACAATAATACACTACACATGTATTCTTATTAGCACAATCTCTCCTAAATAATATAGTTTGGATACTCTATTATTCATCATTTATTGATCTCGTTGATAGAAGAACAATCAGAACCCTGTGCCTTCAGCAAAAAACAGCTCCAAGCCTCGAAAATTATAACAACCTTGTTTAAATGAATAGGTAAAACTGAATGACGACTATCATGTTGGTCTCTCCATCATGTTTTCGGTCATCTTTATTTGAGTACCTGGACATTATATTACGAACAGTAACTCAACATATCTCCCCATCACCTTTTATTTGATCACAATTTACACCTTGTGACTACCCATGCATTTTGTTACAAAAGCACAACCATTCGTATGCCTATAGTCAATCAAGCAAACAATGAGACAATTCTCTCACCAACTAGCTTATACACATTGCTTATTTCCATTAGGGTAGGTATTTTACTTGTTCTCCGAACATAGGATGTTTTCCCTATAAAGGATCACCCTCCACCTTGTGAAAAGGATTAACATTTTCACATTTTAGTATATCGTTATTCTGCCATTTTTGATACTTCAGTTTTCTCACTCTAACATCTCTTTCGAATTTTCACTACCCCAGTCCTATGGACCAACGAAGGATTTTGAAAATGTGTATAAAAAATATATGACTGCTTAACTCGTTTGAAAACATTTTTTGACTTGTTCCAGACTTTTATGATGAAAAGATTTTGATGTGTACAAAATTGATATTTCTTTCACCTCACAAAATGTGATTGATTTGATTTTTCTTTTTTAATGGTGTAAACCTTGGATAATGATTTTACTTATTATATTTATATGAAACTTATAGTAAATTTTGTACTTTTATGAAAATACTTCTAAGTAAGGATATCTCTACATATTTAAAATAATATCGTATAAAAAACTCATTTGTCATTTATCAAGAAAAATGAGTTTGGATTTTGGGACGAAGGAAATACAATTTTTGACTATATCATATACATTTTTTTATGTGAGGATACTTGTTGCCTATAAAATGATTTTTTTGACAATTTTTAAAAGATTACACCCTCCGTTCATTTTTTTTATTGCAATGTTTCCATTTTCATATTTTTTAATACACAACTTTGACCATTACTATACTAAATTCCTTACTAATAAAGAATTATATTTTGAAAATTAAAAATGAGAAGAGTTTAGTAATATTTCATAGAAATTTAATTTATAATGTATTAATAAATAAAATCTAATCAAAATAGAGCACATGAATTTTGTAAATTTCAACATGTTACAACTATTTAAGAGCGAAGATAAATTAATTTTTTAAACATTTCAAATTTGTTATGAGTTTAATATTAATTTAAATTTCATGAGGAGAATCATATTTATAAAAATTCAGATGAGTGAATGATGAAATTTACAAAATTGAGAACACCATAAAAATATTTCAAGCAAAATGATGTTGGCAATGGCGGACCCACTAAGGGTCTCATGTAACACCGTCCCCAAATATATTTACTTTTATGTAAATAATGTATTGAACCTTACTAAAGAATTAATGAATTTACGAAGTTGTAAATTTTTATTATTTCTTTCACGTGAATAGTAAATTGCACGTGGGACCCACACCGGGAGCGGGGGCCGCCCGACACTCCCGAGACCACATATTTTATCCATCTTAGTCAAGATAATATTTATATAGTGGTGGATATTTTATTTGGGTCGTGGAAAGGCGCATAGTTGACCGATTGGGAAAAAGAGGCCCAATTACCGGTACCGACAAGTTAACAGATAACAGCCTGAAAATGAATTTCGGAGGTTTATAAATTAAAGTTTGGGAATGTATATTCATTATACATGTCATAATGAGTAAGAGCACATAATATATTTTATTTGACCCGATAAAATAAAATATGATTAAAACAGTCCGAAAAATACAACTTTCGGGGCCGATTGTACACTTCGGGACAAAAGGGGTTGACCTCCCACATGAGTGGGGGCCAACCCACGATTTTTTCACTCAAACTTGAGGGTTGGTCGGCTGGTAGAAGGAGGGAGCATGGGAGAAGGGTTTTGACATGAAGGAAATGGCATCAAAAGTACCTAGGTGGACCCCCATTTTTTACACTCATTGGTTTAATGAGACAAAGGTCCATCCCCTTCCTCTCTCCCCCATTTGTTCGGCCAAGCTACAGAAAAAGAGAAGGAAAACTCTCCATTCTTCCTCCCTCCATTGTTGAAGAGAAATCATCAAGGAAGAATCACCCAAAAAGGAGCTAAAGTGCTAAAAGTGTGAAATAATTAAGGTAATGACCTTATTATAACTCTTTCTTTATTTTTCTTCTACCATATGAGATACATATCATGTGAAGAACCATTAAGAGGGTTCTACATGTTATAAGTATGGATTAATGGGTTGGAAAGTGATTCCATGTCCAAGAACGGGCTTAGAAGCCAAAACGACCGGTTCACCGGAAAATGACCTTTTTGAGGTTATTTGTATTAATATGGGTTTTATGATTATAAAACCTTGTTAGGCACTTGTAAAGGGTATTTCAAGTGATTTCACAAAGTTGGAAAAAGTCGCCGGAGTTGTCGCCGGAGTTGACCAAGTCGCCGGAGTTTCACCGGAGTTCAACCAAGAAGGGTAGAACTTCTTAACGCTAGTTCAAGGTGAGTGGACGGCTTAATATCTTATAACTTTTGGGTTAATTATGAGATTACCTAAATAAATGTTATATGTTTTCATAATGATGTTTAAAAGATAATTAAACATGTGATTAGCCAACATTATCAAGTTGTATGAAAAGAATTAATTGATTATGCATGAAATATGATATGAGAGATTATATAAAATGCACATTAGCTTGAAGTGTAAAAGAAGCTCAAATGAGTATTATTGACTTAATTATATGATGATTAAGTTGATGTGAACAAGGCTTGAATTGGCGGTCAACGACAACGTTGACCGATGGATGATGGATTAATTAATATCGGTTGATGTTAGTTAATTATACATTTATTTAAATGCATGGCTTTGCATGGATTGTGATACATAAGATTTATGTAATGGATTAGTTATGAGTAACTAAGGATGATATAGACTCTATCTAGGTTGATAGGAGGTTGATCATAGGAAAACTTGGTGGAGGACCCTAGTACTTAAAAAGTACTTAACACTCAAACTTGGTGGAGGACCCTAGGACTTAAAGTCCTTAACACTCAAACTTGGTGGAGGACCCTAGTACTTAAAAGTACTTAACACTCAAAACTTGGTGGAGGACCCTAGTACTTAAAAAGTACTTAACACTCAAACTTGGTGGAGGACCCTAGGACTTAAAGTCCTTAACACTCAAACTTGGTGGAGGACCCTAGTACTTAAAAGTACTTAACACTCAAAACTTGGTGGAGGACCCTAGGACTTAAAAGTCCTTAACACTCAAACTTGGTGGAGGACCCTAGTACTTAAAAGTACTTAACACTCAAACTTGGTGGAGGACCCTAGGACTTATGAGTCCTTAACACTCACAAACCGGTGGAGTATCCAAGGATTATGATCCTAAAACTCATAGATTGTGATATACAAGTAGGGACAAGGAGGAGTCCTATACACTCATAGGTATATGGGTGGGTTGGGGTTTTTAGTCAAGAATATTGACTATTACTATTTTCCCGAATAAAATGGTGATCTACGGATCGGATATTTTCCAAGTATATATATACTAATAAGTATTTCATAACTTGGGGGAAAGATTATTTATTTAAGTATCACCCTATGTTTGGGTCTTATACTTGAAACGCTAGTTATTCTATATTTAGCCTGCTACTCGCTCGGTACTTGTACTGACCCCTTCGGGGGGCCCCACCATTTTCAGGTTGAAGCTAGAGCTTGCTACTTGCACCTTCTCACGGGTGATATCAAATCAGGGAGACGTGGTTCGTGCTTCCTTATTTTCTTTCAAACTACCGAACACTTGCTCATGGATATTTGTTTTACTACAAACTATTTTTGGGGCTTGCATGCCCATGTTGTCGGCCGGTTGTGGCCCATGACTTACCGTTGAATATTTCCGCTATTCATTGGTTTAATGTGATGTTGTTATGTATGTTTACTACTGAGTATGGATGGATTGTTTTCTCGAACGCCTTGTGTAATTAAGTGAGGTTGACCCGTGGGTGACGTCACTTAGTTATACGGCGGTTGTACACGCGCTTGGATTGCGGTCTGGGGCGTGACAATTAAGTGGTATCAGAGCCATCTCAGTTCTAAACTATATAATCAACCTCTCACAAAAGAATTTGCAAAAGAGTTTTTACCGAAAACCATGAGCATTGTATTTTGACGTTTATAGGACTATTGGTGCTTAAGTTGCAAGGCCTCTAATTGTTAAGACGGTACCCTTAACAATTGGTATGGTAGTGACTTGGGCCAATACGTGTCTATAACGTTCTTCCGTCAATTGACATTTATAGGAGTCTAATGACTCATCCATATTTCTTTCAGAAATTGAGGGCAGGCGAATGAGGACCAGGAACAATCCGAGGGGGCAGGCTCCGGGAGCATCCCAAAGGGGGAGCCGGGCTGCATCTCGGGGTTCGAGAGGAGGCCGGGGAGGCCGTGGAAGCCGTGGAGGTCATCAAGCTCAAACTGTGAGTGATGGCCATGTGAGCTCGGTGTATGAGACCAACACCGAAGACTACGACTCAACCTACGTGCCAGAGACGGAGCATGAAGAGACCCCGTATGATGGGGGTGACACGTACACCGATGATGATGATGAAGAGAGTGATGCCAAGTTCGCCCAAATGGGCGAATTGCTTGAATGGTATCAAAAAGAAAAATTGAGGAGGGACCTTAGGCGCCAAGCGAGGCGTGGCTCTCGCGGTGGTTCGGGTCAAGGAAGCCGGGGAGCTTCCGTGGCCACCCCAGCGGCGTCACAAGGTGGGCGTGAAGGAGGTTTTGTCGTGAGAATCTCCAAGTACCTCAAGGAGGCTAGGGCCTTGGGGTGTAGGTCCTTTGACGGCACCGGTGACATTACCGTTGCCGCCGATTGGATTAAGAAGGTGAAGGATGCATCAAGAGACATGCAAATCACACCGGACGTGAAGTTGACTGTCGCTTCACGGCTACTTGAAGGGATAGCTTCTACGTGGTGGGAGAGCGTGGAAGGGAAGTACCATGGGGAAATAACATGGGCGGACTTTGAGCTAGAGTTCTATGCTCAATACTACTCCGAGTACGAGGTGAATGTGAAACGGAGAGAGTACACTAACCTCAAACAGAAAGAGGGCGGCACAGTTAAGCAACTGGAACAAGAGTTTAGAACCTTGGCTAGGTTCTTGCCGGAGTACGCGGTTGATGAGAACCGCATGACGGAGCACTTTTGGGATGCCCTACTCTTGGACATCCGTGACCAAGCTACGTACTCGCGCCACATGACCTTCAGTGAGGTGGTGGAGCAGGGCCTTCTCGGGGAGGCCCAATGGAATGAGAGAAAAGAGAGAGACGCCGAGGAGGCGAAAAAGAGGAAATGGCAAAGTTCGGGGCCGCCCGAGCAAGCACGAAAGGATAAGCACGGTGGAGGTGGCGGTTCGTTCAAGACACCGGCACCACCGGCAAAGAAGAACAGGGATGCTCGGTGGCATGCATCCTCCTCACAAAGGACGGGGCCTCCAAAGTGTGCCAATTGTTCGAAAAATCATTTTGGGAAGTGCAATGCACCCCCAAGGTGTTATCAATGCGGGAACACGGGCCACATGAAGGCAAATTGCCCACAATTAGGGGGAGGAGGAGCCTCGGGATCCGGAGGAGGAACCATGACGGGAAGAAACCGTGCGGGACCGTCAAACGGCGGTACGGGAAGAGGCGGCGCGTCCACAAGCCATGCCGCGTCCGTAAATCAAGGCGGGACCCAAGCACGAGTGTACGCAATGACCGAGGCGGATGCGCGAGCAAACCCGGACTCCGTTGCAGGTAATACACTTATTTTCCTATATTTCTAGGCTTATTTGGGTCATATGAGTCATTGGGTTTGGGTGCGGGCCACCCCGGGGTCAAACCCCGCGAATTCGGGGCGAAACGGGCTAAAAACAACTACGCGCGATCGCGCGTACCTACAGACGCACGACCGTGCGTACGAGGCAGCAGCCTCTGGCCATTTTCCGCGCAGACGCACGCCGTGCGTGCAGGGAAGGCACGCCGTGCGTGGGACGCACGACCGTGCGTGACCAGCTACGCACGATCGTGCGTAGCCGGCAGTGGCGGATTCCGAACTTCTCACGCACGCACGACCGTGCGTGCCACCCAGGCACGCCGTGCGTGGACCCCAGGCACCCGAAACTTGATTTTTTCGCCCCGTTCTTCTACGTTTGGACCCCCGTTTGATTCCAAACATTAGTAAGAGCCTAATAACCTCCTAAAAATGTGTAAAAACATTAGAAAATGTATCTTACATGGTGTATAAATGTAGGAACATTAAAGATCAATGGTAGGTGTGCGAGGATCCTCATCGATACCGGGGCACAACGCTCATTTGTGAGTGAGGCGTTCGCCGAGGGCCTTGACGTGCCATTGACACCTATGACGCAAACATTGCTAGTCTCCACACCGTTAGGAGACGACGTGGAGAGAAATCATTATTATCCGTCGTGTGAGGTAGAAGTGACGGGTCAACCTTTGACTTGTGATTTCGTACCTCTAAGCATGTTGGAGTTCGATGCAATCCTAGGAATGGATTGGCTCGAGAAACACCATGCTCGAGTAGATTGCTACACCAAGGTGTTAGAGCTCGAGGATGATCAAGGAAACACACTATGTTTCGAGGGAGATCGGGGGAAATCTAATGCTTGTATAATATCCGTGATGAGGGCACGGAAGATGATGAGGAAGGGATGCCACGCATACCTTGCCTACGTGGTGGACGATACCAAGAAGGAAGTCGACATCAAAGATGTACGGGTCGTGTGCAAATACCCGGATGTCTTTCCCAAAGACCTACCGGGGCTCCCACCCGATAGAGAGATAGAGTTTGTAATCGAAGTGGAGCCGGGAACCAAACCCATTTCGATTCCCCCTTATCGAATGGCACCGGCCGAACTCCAAGAGTTGAAGGTCCAACTACAAGAATTACTGGACAACGGGTTCATCAGACCCAGTCATTCACCGTGGGGGGCACCCGTACTCTTCGTGAAGAAGAAGGATGGTACACTAAGAATGTGTATTGACTACCGACAGTTGAACAAGGTCACAGTCAAGAACAGGTATCCCTTACCGAGGATTGATGACTTGTTTGATCAACTTCGGGGGGCAATAGTGTTCTCGAAGATTGATTTGAGGTCGGGGTATCATCAGTTGAAGATCAAGGAGAGCGACATACCTAAGAGTGCATTTCGCACTAGATATGGTCATTATGAGTTCCTTGTGATGTCATTTGGTTTAACCAACGCACCGGCAGCATTCATGGACTTGATGAACCGTGTGTTTAGTGAATACTTAGATCAATTTGTGATAGTATTCATTGATGATATCTTGATATATTCCAAGAGCGAGGAGGAGCACGAACATCATTTGAGGCTTATACTTGATCGGCTAAGGGAAAAGCAACTCTTTGCCAAGTTCTCCAAATGCGAATTTTGGCTCAAGGAGATTGGTTTTCTTGGTCACGTCATATCCGGTTCGGGTGTAGCTGTGGATAACGCCAAGATAAAAGCTATCATGGATTGGGAGAGGCCCAAGAATGTGAAAGAGATACGTAGTTTCCTTGGCCTAGCGGGATACTATCGTAAATTTGTTGAGAAATTCTCCGTATTGGCGTCCCCATTAACGAAGCTCACAAAGAAAGGGGCCAAGTTTGTATGGGACGACAAGTGTGAGAAAGGGTTCCTTGAACTGAAGAGACGACTTACCGAAGCACCAGTCCTAGCCCTACCCATACAGGGGATAGGGTATGATATCTACAGTGATGCTAGCATCCAAGGACTTGGATGTGTACTGATGCAAAACGGTAAAGTGATTGCCTATGCTTCAAGGCAATTGAGGAAGCACGAGGTGAACTACCCTACCCATGATCTAGAATTAGGGGCGGTAGTGTTTGCACTGAAAATCTGGAGGCATTATCTCTACGGGGAGACATGTCACATTTTTACAGACCATAAGAGCTTGAAGTACGTATTCACTCAGAAAGAGTTGAATATGAGGCAAAGGAGATGGATGGAGTTGATCAAGGACTATGACTTGATCATCGACTATCATCCCGGAAAGGCCAATGTCGTGGCCGACGCACTGAGCAGGAAGAATACGACAGGGACGCTACTCACATGTCTACAGGCATTGAGGGCACGCGTGGAGGTGTCCACGTGTGGGGCTCTCATTGCTCGATTTGAGGTTAGGCCCACCCTATTGGGCGAGATTAGTCGAAGTCAGGCCATTGATGAGGAATGTCAGAAGATCCGTGAAAGGATCCTGGAAGGACCCGTTGAGAATTTTCGGGTACGTGATGACGGTCTTTTATTGTTTAAAGATCGTGTGTGCATACCAAGGAATGAGGAACTCCAGAAATCTATACTTGAGGAGGCTCATTCTTCGGCTTATGCTATGCATCCAGGAGGTACTAAGATGTACCGAGATTTGAAGGAAAGTTACTGGTGGTCAGGTATGAAGAGAGACATCGCCGAGTATGTGAGTCGATGCCTTACTTGCCAGCAAGTTAAGGCAGAACATCAGCACCCGGCAGGGCTCTTGCAGCCACTCACCATCCCAGAGTGGAAGTGGGAGCACGTGACCATGGACTTCGTGGTGGGGCTACCACGAACGGTGAACAACTATGATGCAGTTTGGGTAGTGGTTGATAGGCTCACCAAGAGTGCACACTTTTTGCCTATCAACATTACTTATCCTCTTGAAAGATTGGCCAAGCTATACACGGAGGAGATTGTGAGATTACATGGAGTCCCAATATCCATTGTCTCGGATAGGGATCCACGATTCACATCCCGATTTTGGCCAAAGTTTCAGGCATCTTTGGGGACTAAACTGAAGTTTAGCACAGCTTTTCACCCACAGACGGATGGGCAGTCCGAACGGGTGATACAGATTTTGGAAGACATGCTTAGGGCATGTGCGCTGGAGTTCCAAGGAAGTTGGGACAAACATTTGGCCCTAGTGGAGTTTGCTTATAACAACAGTTATCAAGCAAGTATTGGCATGCCTCCATATGAGGCATTGTATGGGAGGAAATGCAGGACACCATTGTGTTGGGACGAGGTTGGCGAGGCCAAACTCGAAGGAATAGAGCTGGTTGAGATCACCAAGGCCAAGGTAAGGATCATTCGGGATAGATTGAAGGCTGCTCAGGACCGACAGAAGAGTTATGCTGACAAACGGCGGAGACCGTTGGAGTTCGAGGTCGGTGATGAGGTTTTTCTAAGGATTTCTCCTTGGAAGGGCATCATCCGATTTGTATCGAGGGGGAAGCTTAATCCCCGATACATTGGTCCATTTGAAATCCTTGAAAGGATTGGAGCTGTGGCTTATCGTCTCAAGTTGACACCAGAGCTTGAGAAGATACATGACGTGTTTCATGTATCGATGCTCAAGAAGTACATACGAGACCCATCTCATATTCTTGAGAAACCACCGGTAGAGATCCGTGAGGACTTGCAATATGCGGTGGAACCAGTGAAGATTGTTGGTCAACAAGTGAAGAAGCTTAGGAATAAGGAGATTCCTATGGTAAAGGTTCTTTGGAGGAGTGATCGAGTCGAAGAAGAAACTTGGGAGACCGAGGTCTCAATGAGGGAGCAATACCCATTTCTTTTCGATTAGATACTTGGATTTCGGGGACGAAATCCCAAATAAGGGAGGGTGAACTTGTAACACCGTCCCCAAATATATTTACTTTTATGTAAATAATGTATTGAACCTTACTAAAGAATTAATGAATTTACGAAGTTGTAAATTTTTATTATTTCTTTCACGTGAATAGTAAATTGCACGTGGGACCCACACCGGGAGCGGGGGCCGCCCGACACTCCCGAGACCACATATTTTATCCATCTTAGTCAAGATAATATTTATATAGTGGTGGATATTTTATTTGGGTCGTGGAAAGGCGCATAGTTGACCGATTGGGAAAAAGAGGCCCAATTACCGGTACCGACAAGTTAACAGATAACAGCCTGAAAATGAATTTCGGAGGTTTATAAATTAAAGTTTGGGAATGTATATTCATTATACATGTCATAATGAGTAAGAGCACATAATATATTTTATTTGACCCGATAAAATAAAATATGATTAAAACAGTCCGAAAAATACAACTTTCGGGGCCGATTGTACACTTCGGGACAAAAGGGGTTGACCTCCCACATGAGTGGGGGCCAACCCACGATTTTTCCACTCAAACTTGAGGGTTGGTCGGCTGGTAGAAGGAGGGAGCATGGGAGAAGGGTTTTGACATGAAGGAAATGGCATCAAAAGTACCTAGGTGGACCCCCATTTTTTACACTCATTGGTTTAATGAGACAAAGGTCCATCCCCTTCCTCTCTCCCCCATTTGTTCGGCCAAGCTACAGAAAAAGAGAAGGAAAACTCTCCATTCTTCCTCCCTCCATTGTTGAAGAGAAATCATCAAGGAAGAATCACCCAAAAAGGAGCTAAAGTGCTAAAAGTGTGAAATAATTAAGGTAATGACCTTATTATAACTCTTTCTTTATTTTTCTTCTACCATATGAGATACATATCATGTGAAGAACCATTAAGAGGGTTCTACATGTTATAAGTATGGATTAATGGGTTGGAAAGTGATTCCATGTCCAAGAACGGGCTTAGAAGCCAAAACGACCGGTTCACCGGAAAATGACCTTTTTGAGGTTATTTGTATTAATATGGGTTTTATGATTATAAAACCTTGTTAGGCACTTGTAAAGGGTATTTCAAGTGATTTCACAAAGTTGGAAAAAGTCGCCGGAGTTGTCGCCGGAGTTGACCAAGTCGCCGGAGTTTCACCGGAGTTCAACCAAGAAGGGTAGAACTTCTTAACGCTAGTTCAAGGTGAGTGGACGGCTTAATATCTTATAACTTTTGGGTTAATTATGAGATTACCTAAATAAATGTTATATGTTTTCATAATGATGTTTAAAAGATAATTAAACATGTGATTAGCCAACATTATCAAGTTGTATGAAAAGAATTAATTGATTATGCATGAAATATGATATGAGAGATTATATAAAATGCACATTAGCTTGAAGTGTAAAAGAAGCTCAAATGAGTATTATTGACTTAATTATATGATGATTAAGTTGATGTGAACAAGGCTTGAATTGGCGGTCAACGACAACGTTGACCGATGGATGATGGATTAATTAATATCGGTTGATGTTAGTTAATTATACATTTATTTAAATGCATGGCTTTGCATGGATTGTGATACATAAGATTTATGTAATGGATTAGTTATGAGTAACTAAGGATGATATAGACTCTATCTAGGTTGATAGGAGGTTGATCATAGGAAAACTTGGTGGAGGACCCTAGTACTTAAAAAGTACTTAACACTCAAACTTGGTGGAGGACCCTAGGACTTAAAGTCCTTAACACTCAAACTTGGTGGAGGACCCTAGTACTTAAAAGTACTTAACACTCAAAACTTGGTGGAGGACCCTAGTACTTAAAAAGTACTTAACACTCAAACTTGGTGGAGGACCCTAGGACTTAAAGTCCTTAACACTCAAACTTGGTGGAGGACCCTAGTACTTAAAAGTACTTAACACTCAAAACTTGGTGGAGGACCCTAGGACTTAAAAGTCCTTAACACTCAAACTTGGTGGAGGACCCTAGTACTTAAAAGTACTTAACACTCAAACTTGGTGGAGGACCCTAGGACTTATGAGTCCTTAACACTCACAAACCGGTGGAGTATCCAAGGATTATGATCCTAAAACTCATAGATTGTGATATACAAGTAGGGACAAGGAGGAGTCCTATACACTCATAGGTATATGGGTGGGTTGGGGTTTTTAGTCAAGAATATTGACTATTACTATTTTCCCGAATAAAATGGTGATCTACGGATCGGATATTTTCCAAGTATATATATACTAATAAGTATTTCATAACTTGGGGGAAAGATTATTTATTTAAGTATCACCCTATGTTTGGGTCTTATACTTGAAACGCTAGTTATTCTATATTTAGCCTGCTACTCGCTCGGTACTTGTACTGACCCCTTCGGGGGGCCCCACCATTTTCAGGTTGAAGCTAGAGCTTGCTACTTGCACCTTCTCACGGGTGATATCAAATCAGGGAGACGTGGTTCGTGCTTCCTTATTTTCTTTCAAACTACCGAACACTTGCTCATGGATATTTGTTTTACTACAAACTATTTTTGGGGCTTGCATGCCCATGTTGTCGGCCGGTTGTGGCCCATGACTTACCGTTGAATATTTCCGCTATTCATTGGTTTAATGTGATGTTGTTATGTATGTTTACTACTGAGTATGGATGGATTGTTTTCTCGAACGCCTTGTGTAATTAAGTGAGGTTGACCCGTGGGTGACGTCACTTAGTTATACGGCGGTTGTACACGCGCTTGGATTGCGGTCTGGGGCGTGACATCTCATGGGGTCCTGGGACCCTGTTGACTTTAAAAAAAATACCTATATATATTATATATATTTTACTAAGAGGTTGGAGCAGTGGAGGAGGAGCATGTGCTAGTTTTAAACGTTTCCTTACTCAGAGGTTAAGGGTTCAATTCCATGTGGCACTAATTTTTGTTATTTTACACTTACTCTTCTAAAACACAAAAACTACATCATTTTGACCCCTTTTTAAAACTCGATGACCCAATTCAGCTAGCCAAAGTCACGCACGCCCGGGTTTTATTTACCCTTTGCATAATTTATTTATTTATTGGATTAATTACCAAAATTTATTTGAATGGTAAGATTAAATTAATAAATCTATGCATTTATGAATGTTTTTTTCAATATCTTTACGATTTAGGGTGAAAATATATTTTGATAATTCAGAAATTGGGAGTACCGAAATTAGTTCAGATATTAATTCAAATTACTCGTCATTAGTAAATGAAAAATTGGATCAAATAATTGTTGATAGTGAAACTAATTTGGCTTATAATTTACATAACAACATGTTGTTTTTTAATTGTTTGAAGTTAATTCTTGATTGTAATGGTGTCCACGAAGAAGTATCTCACATATCAGCATGTGTATAAGCTTATTAAGTTATTTCTACTCCTCATTGTAGCCTACAATAAGTGTTGAATGCATGTTTTAAAGTATGAAGTCCATAAAGAATGAGTTGTAAATAATATATGCGATCAACGGCCGGTAGAATTGTAGAATGACTTTTATACTCTCTTAATGTTTTGATGATGTACGTTAAGTATGAAACGTTATGCTTCTTTAATGTTTACATATTTTTTATTAATTTTTTATTAATTAGAACTACGTTAAGGTAGGGACCTCGTCGCTCTATTTTTCTTGGTCCGCCACTGGATGTTGCTATACATATTTTGTACACATATGATGTACACTCTGCTATTTTCTTTTCATTTTTACTTTTTACTTTTTTCTTCATTTTACTTTTGTGTCTTTGTTTAGTTTAATTACATTATCAATATAACAAAAATGTAAAATGAGAAAAAATCTTTAATAAAAAGATAATGCTTAAGAAAAAGAAACACATGAAAAGGGAAATGAAATACAAATACGGGAAGAAACAAATGACCAAAAGATCTGTACGAAAAGAAAATTTACAAAAAATGTTATAATAATAGAGTAAGAAATAGAATAATAAATATAGAAAAGAAATAAAAGGTAAATGATGGAAAAAGCATTAAAGAAGTGTCTAGGGATACAACTAAAGAAAGAAAAGTTATAGGGTAAAAAAGAAAAAAAGAAACATAATACTGTTTTGAGTAGATTTGTAAAATGTGGGATTATATATGTAAGATTTCCAAAAAAAGACAAAAAATTAGATATTGTAGATCATCAATGGGTTAGGTCCAATGAGGGAAAACGTGTTACATGGATGTAATTAATCCTGAATTGGGTAAATGTGAGATTTTCCTAAGATGTTCGCCAAAAACGAGAAGTTATTATTGTCTGTTATAAAATGGAATGAAATAAACAGAAGATCAGGGAGAGAAAGTATATTCTGAACACTTAGTGAGAAAGATGTTATTAAGAGTGTGATAATAGTGTTGTAATGGTGTGTTTACAATGAAGGAGAATACTCATATTTATAGGGGGAAATGTAATCATGGTGTATATCAGGGGCTAATTGTGAGCCATACAATTACCATATTGAAATCATAATTATGATTTCTTATTTATATTAACAATGATGATAATGTCTTCTTGATCATGAATAGTTGGAAGATGACTATTCAATATATTTCAACATCCCCCCTTGAATGGTCATCTTCTAATTATTCTGGGGTATTAGTTTCATAGTATTATAATGTACTGTCTCATTAAAAACCTTTGTCAAGAAAAAACCCAGTGGGATAAAACCTGACGAAGGGAAAAAGAGTGCAGTGCATTATATTACTCCCTCTCAATTTAAATTAACATATATCTCGAAGACGATACATTCCAATTTTATGGACCGGTTCTTCAAATTTCTTTGGTGCCAATGACTTTGTGAACAAATCAGCAGGGTTGTCGCATGACTTGATCGATTTGTTTGACATCAACCGTTCCGTCTTTCTCAAGATCATGTGTGGAGAAAAGTTTTGGTGCTAAATGCTTTGTTCTGTCCCCTTTGATGTAACCTCTTTGATCTGAGCTATACATGCTATATTATCTTCATAAATCACAGTAGGATTAGAAGTAAAAGATTTTATACCACATTCATTTTGTATGTGCTGGATCATTGATCTCAACCAGACACACTCTCGACCTGCTTCATAAAGAGCAATTAATTCTGCATGATTTGATGATGTTGCAGTTAATGTTTGCTTCATTGATCTCCATGATATAGCGGTATCACCATAGGTGAATAAATATCCTGTTTGTGATTTTGCTTTTTGTGGATCAGACAAGTATCCTGCATCGGCGTAGCCAATTAAAGTGGCATTTGCACCATTCTTGAAATACAATCCAAGATTGATTGTTACCATTGAGATATCGGAATATATGTTTGACACCATTCCAATGTCTTCTTGTTGGGGAAGAACTGTACTTGGCTAATAAATTTACAGAAAAAGCAATATCTGGTCGAGTATTATTAGCCAAATACATTAATGCTCCAATCGCACTAAAATATGGTATTTCGGGACCAAGGATTTCTTCATCATCTTCACAAGGTCGGAAAGGATCATCATGCTCATTGAGAGATCGAACCACCATTGGAGAATTGAGCGGGTGTGCTTTATCCATGTAAAACTGCTTCAAAAGTTTCTCGATATAATTTGATTGGTGAATAAAAATACCATTTCTCAAATGTTCAATTAGAATGCCGAGACAAAATTTTGTTCTCCCAAGGTCTTTCATTTCAAATTCTTTCATGAGATATTTTGCAGTATTTTCAATTTCATTAGAAGTTCCGATTATATTCAAATCATCAACATATACTGCAATTATGGTGAATCCTGATTCGGATCGCTGAATGAAAACACATGGACTAATAAGATCATTTTTATATCCTTCTTTAATGAAATATTCACTGAGACGGTTATACCACATGCGTCCAGATTGTTTTAATCCATATAATGACTTTTGCAATTTTATGGAAAATAAATTTCGAGATTTCGAGCTATAAGCATCAGGTATTTTAAAGCCACTAGGAATTCTCATATATATGTTTGTATCGAGTGAACCGTATAAATATGCGGTCCAGATATCCATCAACTACTGGAGAATATGTCTCATCATTATCGATTCCTGTCATTCGAGAAAAACCTTGGACAACAAGTCGGGCTCTGTATCTAACGATTTCATTTTTCTCGTTGCATTTACGCACAAAAACCCATTTAAAACCGACAGGTTTTACGCCTTTTGGCGTATGGACAATTGGTCCAAAAACATTGCGCTTTTCTATTGATTTTAATTCTACCTAAATTGCTTCATTTCATTTTGGCCAATCATTTCTACGACGACATTCGTCAATAGATTTAGGCTCATTGTCATCGTGTTCATTCATTATATCTGTGGCGATGGCATATGAAAATATATCATTAACATCAACATCATTTCTACTCCATTGTATATATTCCATTAGAAACGTAATTAATTGAAATTTCGAAATTATCGACGTTTCTATCTTTATCTGGAATATTTACCTCTTCGAAGGTGATTGGATTCTCTTTTGAGGTATCTTTATTATTGATGTTATCTTCAAGGCCGATATTTTCAAAATGTTCATTTTTTTCTTGAGAAGACTGAACTTCTTTAGCACCACAAACTACAGCTTGCTGTTTAAATTTTCTTGGTTTCAAATCTCTTGAACCAAGTGGTCTACCACATTTTTTTACGTATCATAGATTCATTAGCAAGAGTTCTTTCGCTAATCTCCACAGGAATTTCTATTCGAGAAGGAGCATTCATAGTTGGAACATGTGACTTTGTCACTTTCTTTGAGTCTGTGAAAGCATCAGGCAAATGGTTGGCAACATTTTGTAAATGAATAATCTTTTGAATTTCTTGTTCACAAGCATTTGTGCGAGAATCGAGAAAAGATAAATTTGTTGCATTCCAAGTAATATCTTTCGTACGTGGGTCCATTTCTTTAATATCTCTCCCTAAGGCTGGGAATACTGTCTCATCAAAATGACAGTCATCGAACCGCACGGTGAATAAGTCACCGGTCATAGGTTCTAGATAATTAATAATTGAGGGTGATTTAAAACTAACATAAATTCTCAGTCTTCTTTGAGTACCCATTTTAGTACGATAAGGTGGAGCAATTGGTACATACCGGAACAACCAAATATTTTTAGGTGTGATATATTGGGTTCTTTACCAGATATTAATTGTAATGGGGAAAATTTATGATATGCCGTTGGACTAAGCCGAATTAAATTTGCAGCATGCATTATAGCATATCCCCATGTAGATGATGGTAATCTGGATTTCATCAATAATGGTCTAGCAATTAATTGTAATCGCTTAATTAAGGATTCGGCAAGACCATTTTGTGTATGTACATGTGGAACTGGATGTTCCACATCAATCCCAATTGACATGCAATAGTCATTAAAAGATTGGGATGTGAATTTTCATGCATTATCAAGTCAGGTTTTCTTTATCAAATAATTCGAAAATTGTGATCTCAAACGAATAATTTTACAAGTAGATTTGCAAATGCGAAATTTCTAGTCGATAAAAGACTGACGTGTGACCAACATGTTGATGCATCAATAAGCACCATAAAATATCGAAAGGGTCCACACGGAGGGGTAATTGGCCCACAAATATCTCCTTGAATTCTTTCTAAAAATGCAAGAGATTCAACTCCAATTTTGTATAAAGATGGCCTGATAATTAATTTGCCAAGAAAATAGGTAGTGCACGGAAAATCACTTGATTGTGGAATCTTGACATTAGTTAATGAATGTCCAAGTGAATTTTCAATAATTTTGTGCATCATAGTGCTGCCTGGATGACCTAAACGGTCATGCCACAAGATAAAAGAATTGTGGGCATAAATTTTAGATACCACATTTA